AGTCTAAGATAACCATGGAGAGAAGAATGTCGGGAATCCCCAACATGGTGATTAGAGCGCGGACGGGAGTGAAGAAGCAACGGTAAGCCTGGCACGTAGCTCAGCTCACCAGCGAGAGTTGGTCGGCGATGATCGTCAACTCGCTGATTGGATCCCAACCACAACGGTGGGAAGATCATGAGCCGGATTTGGAGGGAGAATGTTCGAAATCTTGAGAAATAGCCTGTGTAATTCTTCGCAGATTACTAGCAGGCCTAAGTGATCTAAGTGAAGACCAAGTATCGTACCCTCGAGGTACCGCCCTCTAAGTTTTTCTGGCAATTTTCGCAGACCTCAGGTCTGACTTGCGACCGCTGGTCTCAACTGGTCTGTGACTCCGTGGTGTCATCGCAGTTTGGAGATACATTATTCCCAACTTTGTTACATGCTGCTTGGCACCGGCTACAGCTTGCTTCGTAGGAACAACGATTTTGTTGAATCACCAGTTACACAAGTTACTCGTAATCCCCTCGGAATCCTTGGTCAACTGTACTCTTCTCTTCATGATAAACTTGCACGGTGATTGTCGACAGTGGATTCGCTTGAACCTGATATGCAAATTTATCTTTCATATCAGAGTTCTAGTTGAAATCGATGTTTCCAGATTGAGTACGCATCTTCAGGGACCAAATCGCAATTTGGCAGCATTATTTTACCATGTTTAACGAAACCTAGTTTTTTCATATACTTGTGTTAATTTTATGATAATTGCGATAATTGTGATTATCAGTTTTTTCACTTTTGCTTAATTTGCACTCTGGCTTCAATCCATGATTATTTATGTGCATCTTCCGTTTGCGTTAAAGTAAGACATGGCTCCTAAGAAACCCTCTTTAAGCAATGAAGCCCTTCGATGCTCAAAACCGAAGTGGGATAAATGGTTGACAGAGTAAATTCTGTATCATTTCAGTGCGAATGACTTCGAACGTGACACAAGATTCTGCTTTCTCTTTTAATCCGATGTTTCGGCTTTCGGCACACAAGCGACCATGAGGGATAGTGCAGAAATAGTATGTGCATATGTCATTGCTTGCAAATATCATACCGAATTATCACTGTTTGTGAAATATGCCTGATGATGGCTTATGTGCCGGAAGTCGAAAATTCGGATTAGAAGAGAAAGCGAAAGAAGATGCCTGTTTCACGTCTAAAGCATTGATACTGCTTCTCCAAAATGGGAAAATACAGCTGCGAACGTTTCTAGAAAGGAAGGCGAACCAGCTACCACCTGCTTGATGGTGTAGAAGAAGAAAGAAAGTCTTGTGTGACTTCCAAAGCCGTTCGTATTCAAAAGATGCGACCTTCCGAATTTGAGAAAGCCAAGTTTGACATGGGGCAAGTGCTTCGTCAGTTCTGCTTCAGCTTTAAGTTTTTTTCTGTAGAAGCTCGGATGCCGGCACAAGATGGGTAATGTTAAAGATACTCCCTGACGCTGCTTCCACGGTGATCCAAAAGGATAAGCAATTATCGAAACTGATTGACGCGTCGAAACTTACAGACACCTCGATAATCTGCCGGCATTGCGTTTTAGCTCCACCCGTTAGTTCTCTACAGTTACTGTTTCTGAATCTCTCAATGTTATACTGGTTGATGTGGGTAAAAGTATCCGTTGAATCCGTTGTTCTAACCCCACAAGCCATCTGTGATGAAGGATCATTCTTTCAGCCTTTAATTCTTCAATTGGACTGAAGTTGGCTTCGACGTCGGATGTTCATGTTTTGTTTTTGTAATGCAGATACAGCTCGAGTTCGTTCAGTTTGATACCACATTCCCGTTGCTGAATAGCTCGAAACTGATCAGAAACCTGTCTTGTATGCGTTCGTCGGTGTTCGAGTTTGGGAGTGTCTGACGACGAGCTGACTTTCTTGTCGTTGGATTCTCATGTCACCCTGTCATTCACACATGGCCGAGGCGAAAAACGAAACTTTTGTAAAATGTGCCGAACTTCCTGTTGTTTTTCTGTCGAAGCCGGGTGGGCGGACAGGGAGAGAGGCCGCGGTCAGCAGCAGCAGCGAGGGGTGCAGCGCCGTAAATCATGCGGGCGATACTCGCTGCGCGATGCCGATGCCTCGACCACGTGATGGCTTGAGTTGTTATTTTCGTGACTTTTCTGTACGTCTACTTCCTATGGGAGTCTTGGCGTGGACGACGATTCAAGCACCGGATACTAAACGCACTGTACACAGCGGGTACACAGTGGGAGCCGTTGATTGATTGCCGGAAATTTGTAAGGCGACGTCGCGCGAAGACAGGGGGCCAGAGCGCGTGTCATGTTTTAGGCGGTGGATGTCGGTCGAGAACCCGTCGCACGATCGATCATCCTATATGTTAAGTGACGACCTCCTCAGACCGACAGTCTGTCATTCATAGACTACAGTTTCGGCCGGAAGTGAGCAAAAATGGCTGATTTCTTTCCGGTCGTCGGCACCTTTGTCATTGCCACAATGCCGAATGTGAAACGAAACCATCAAGTCACTTGATCCTGTGATCGGACCGTATTTGCTGTTTAAAGCAGCGTTGACGAGGCCCCACCTGCAGTACAGAACGGGGGTGAACCTTCCTACCGCGCAGTCAGAAGTACTGGACTCGACCCTTGCGTAAATGCACAATGTCTCCTTGTAGCATGCACGGCTGCTCTTGGCAGAGAAGTTGTGCAATGCAATGTAAATCACGTGTAGCAATTAGTCAAGCTGTAAACGACAATGACAACACCATCTTCCGTTCAGAGGGATGATAAAATGATTGATGTGCAAGTTCTAACGGCATCAAGTGTCGTTGCACAAAGTCATCCGTCCATCTATCTCCTTTGGAGAACAATGTAAACGGCGCCCCCCCCAGGTGTTTCTTCCGCGTTTGTTTCAGTGTATATTTCTCCAAAACATATCTGCGTTGAAATAACAAGTTTTGCCAACCCCAGTTAGGCATCGTTGACTACATCATGAATACGGTAGCTCGTCATGGATATACAATCAATCATATTTCATTCTGTCGGTGCAACTCCCTACTCAATGCCGAGAAATGACGATAGTCAGCCACGTAAATGTAACAGAAGTAAAAAAACTGCTGGCGTCTTTCTAATCTAATGTGCGCGTAGGAGAAAATCGATCAGAACCAAGTCCTTTGATTCATACGAGGGGGTAGGAACTTGTCTGACTGATCCAATTAACTGTCACTAATTAATCATACTGTAGTTGAATTGAAAATCAAGTGAAACGCTGTTGTCTATGGTTTTGATGAAAGTCACTTTCGTAACTGTGGGAAACAGTGTTTCTTCGGTGATCCTCTGGCAGGTGAAAAATAATAGCTCTTATTACGGTACGAACCATGGAAAATGCGGCATAAAAAATTGCATAACGCTAATCATTAAAGAATGGCAATTAAGATTCATTTTGAGAAACTAGAGCTTAAGTTTGTCAGAGTTTTATTTTTTCTCCTGTTTATCAGCAGCTTGTCGTGGCGCTAAGAAGAAATCGCCAGGGAAAGGGTAGCCAGCTGAATGAGCAAAACTCCAATCAGATCAAGTGTCAGAGAACTGTCACATTGAATCCCATTCGATCAGGTGATGGGAAAACGGACATTGTCCAAGACACCTGACAATCATCGACAGTAGCCAAAACAACATGTCAAAATGTAAAGTTGCCTACAGTGAGAATCTGTGGAATTAAGAAATTATAAGATGCACGAGAATGAAAGACGTTGTGCCGGTTTCAAAAGAAAGTAAACGACAATGGGCAAGTCACATCGCAAGTGAAGGATGACTAACCGATTTCAGCAGACACACTAGTACCTAAACAGCTGCAGGTTAGATAATGAGCTAAATGAGAGATGAAAGTTTGTGCTGACACATCGCACAAGACAGACGAACGTGATCATCGATGCTAGACAGTGGTGATCCCCGCTAATTACAAAGAAAGACCAGTCGATTGTTGTTGCAAGAATCAGTCTTGATTCAAGGAATTCCGTACCTAGTGATGACCCATGCTCTTTCGCTGAAGTATTTGGCAGTAACACATGAAACTTTGGCATCAGTCTTCTGTGTTGAGACCATAGCCATCGAATGAAGAAAACAATAAGTATAAGAGTAATGTTATTACTACGTTCCGAGGTAGCTACCATATAGCAGCTTACCAATTCGAACATAACACTGCTATATCTGGTGCCCGATTTACTCGGCGCAAGCGCATGGGCCCCTTTGCTTATGATCGCTAGTGCACTGGATGCAGCGCCGCAAGGCTGACAAGGTTGTAGTAGCGTTTTGGAACATCAGGGAAATATTTGTTGGTACATTTGCCTACCGTAAAGGTAGGTTTAACTCGTGCTGGAATGCGAGTTTGTTCAACCCCCACAGCTTGTCCAGATGTGTTCCTGCGTTCCGTGCAATACCGATGCTTAAATCTCATTGAGCCATAGTCGAGTCGCTCCTTAAATGACTGTCCTAGCCGACTACGGACAAAAGTTAGTTGAGTTGGAAATCAGAGGTCGAAACATGAAGAAAACAGAATCAAGGTCTGTTGGTTCCAAATTCGAAATAATCTGGCAGGACTCTAACGATGTTGCTTTGGCACTGCCAGTTGGCAAACTGTTCTGGTTGAATAGAGTTGTTTCTTTCTAAGTTTAGACAACTTGGAACCACATTTTCTGTTTTACTCTATTACGTAGCGTACTGGCTCTATCTATGTACTTATTTTCTTTATCATCCTACGGATTGTGACCTCCAAAATTATCGTACCGTTTTGCTACGGTAGGAAAATTGATTGATCGAGATAATTGCAAATTTGCATACCAGCTACTAACTATTACGGTGAGGTACGGGAGTATTATGTACACCTTTGTAGCTGTACCAGACTGCTCATAACCCAGTCATAACGTCAATATTCAATAGTGCGGGGAAGGGCAGCAATTAGCATGGACCACTTGAAGTAACTTGAAGTATTTCCGCATCGGAAAAGGACCCAGATATAAGCATCGAATGTCACCACTCGAGTTTATTCCGAAGCAAGCACATTGTCCACTACTTATCTCCGTGTTGTCCACGGCTAAAATCTATGACTACCCCGTTTTAGTGAGACAGAAGGAAGAAGTGGATATTACTCGCTGGATAACATGAGGGAATAGAGGTTTATGAGTCCTCATGCCAGCTGAATGGGCGATACCAAAAAGTCAATTTAGTAAACGCTTTATCAGAACCAAACACGACATGTCACTCTTTGCCAAAAATCTCTTTGGTCAGTTATAATATATTGTAAGCAAATGTACTTTCTGCTCTGCACCAGACTACCATAAGTACTTCACAGACAAGTTATGTACTTTCTGGCGAATGAGCATTGTCATGGCATGGCTTTTTTAAAGTTCATATCCCTGTTGCAGAAATTCCCAGTACGTGCTCGGGCGGAATTCCCAGTACAAACAACTTCTGCTCAACTAGTGTACCGTGGTCAGTAGAACCTTTGAACTCAGCGCCCAGAGGTACCGTTCGAGACCCGGTTTGGTCACTCGAGGATGATAGCTGAGTACCAGTCTGTAATAAGGAAACCGGGGACTCTGCCTGTTGGCTGATGGTATAAAGATAGAGATCAGCGCCCCACGATTAAATTCGTGAAAATGCTATGAATGGATGGCGGAGACGGACATTGCAACGGTTTCAAACTTTTCATTCCCATTCCTTCTCTGTCCGTCAAATTGTGACCATGTTGGCTAACATTGAACTTGGTCGTTCAGCGACCGACTGACGCCGCAGACGAAAGGAAAAAAAGCCAGAAGACATGGTGCGTAGACGAACGCTCCCATTAAGGGCTCGTTACGTGCCAAAACAATGTTTACTTTTTCTGAGGTCATGAAAATGACAATAAAATGTTCATGGCGAGTTTTTTCAGTCGTTGATCGAGGCGAGCGAGCGCACGAATGCTGTGCGTCGACAAAAGCACAAAACACGTCCTCGTCGTTGGCACGTTGTTTTGGGGCGGCGGCGAGCGAGCAAACGACTCAGGTTCACTTCCGGTGTTAAGGTGTGGCCAATCGACGACCGACAACCGGTTCGCAGAGGCGCCCGTCATTTTCCGACCCCACTTCCTTTGACGGCCATTGTCGAAAATCTGCGTTCCATGAAAAGAGAAAAAACAAACGATCGACAGGTTCGTCATCACCGGTCCTACGCGTAGTCCACTTTCTTGTTGTACAAGTCTAGGATACGGTAGTGCAGTGCGTGTTGGTACGGTAGGGCAGTGGCAGCGTCAGATGTCAGCTTCTGTTCACGGGAATGAAAGCCTTACTTTGTTCGGTTTTCCATGTCGCTACTATTTGATGGGGTGAAAGGGAGGAATTTTCTCTCGCTTCCTTGAAATTATTCATCATCAAAGTTCGCATGACATCTTTCTCATCTCTGGTACTCGACCGGACGGTGAAGGTACTGTATTGGACTATCGTTGCAATTAATCAATAGAGACATAGCCCCAGGCCGCTTTCCTCTTTTACATAGAGGTTTCTTCTCCTAGGCAGACCTTTTTCCTGAGGGAAAAGAAAATCGACAAAAGCATAAGAACATGATTAAAAACAAAAGCGTTTCCGTTCTTTGATTTGCCGGCGTAAACAGTTGCTGTTCTGCTCCTATCGGCGCGGAAAACTTCTTCAGAATCAGATGCACTGTAGAACCTGCAACAGGTATATAAAAAACCGCATCATACCATTATGTCGAAGAACTACCTGATTGGTTGCATTGGTTAAATCAAATCAGATTTGCTGTTTTAGCCCACAGACAGTATCTTCTCAGCCGTTCCAGGTACAGAGATGACAGTAATCTGTACAAAAGAAACATACAGCCAGCATTGAATTAAAACGGGCTATGAAAGGATGGATCGATTGGTTGCCTGTTTTAACAACAAGTGATGGTCTTCGCTTCTAGATCCATGATTCAAGGCAACAATTTATAAGGGACGACGTAAAATCCTTTATTTATTTGAAATGCATTTCGACCCCGCCGTCTGCGTCTTCATCAGGATAATAATGTACAAATGAAACAACACGACATTACAAAAACAATTGTGTGACAGAACAGATTACACAGATTTCAAACCTTCAGTCCATTTCATGGTTTAACGTTTCAGAGCCTCGTAGAACTCGAATGAAGCGGAGTACAATTTGTTTATTTCCGTACGCGTCCTCGCGTGAGTTAGTATTATATGTTCGGATGTTTATCTGGCTGGATTTATTAGTTAATGAAATTTTAATTTTGACACTTCCGGTTAGGATCGCGCATACATACCGCTTTCCCTCGCACTCAAATCCCCCTATCCGCTAGAAGGAAGGAGGTGACGAGATTCTTCTGAGTCATCAGTGGAAACTGAACTCGTGTTATTCTAACCACAAGTATCGCAAACTACATTCTGTTAGTAATAAAAGTTTTACAGCTCTTATGTTTCTGTTTGCATAGAAGAAATGGTACATTTCGGTTTTCGTAGCGCAGTATAGAAAGACTCCGGAAAATTTCAAAGGTGTGAAGATGTCCCGCCTCAATTATGACTGGCTCCGGCGCTTTGTTATAATAATGAGAGTGCAGTTCTGTTTTTCCCAATATCACTGTGTTTCGTCTAATAGCCGTAGGTCTAAGAATGGTCAGTATCTAAGCGTAAAAATTGGAAAGGAAGTTTTGTGGCGATGTGGACATGTGAGGATAGCCAGGAAGTAGAATTAATAATTAGTTTAAAAATAACAGACCACCATTTCCAAACGTTCTACAATTTATATACTGCTAGGCTAAGGAATTGACTAATCATTCTTCGTAATTTAGCACATGTCCGTTCCCTATTCTCGACGCCCACACTCACCAGTCTTAAGTGCGATATTTCGCCATAAACTTCCGTATCATTTTCTAGCTTATCTTTACATCTGAGCTGAGGGCTAAAGTCTTTCTGTTTGAGCGCTTGCACCCCTTTAAGTACCAATTAGTCATCGTCGAAATCCATCGATCATCCGTCAATCATGCGACGTGACCCGCCCATTGTCGTTTTCATTCTTTCGCAACTAACATTGCGTCCTATATTGCAGTGCGTCTTGTGTTCCTTCATTTTGCAATTTGTCGCTAGTGGAAGTTCCAAGCAACTTTCCTTCCATAGCCTGCTGTTGACTGCGTTCTAAATAGATCTTCACGTTTGTTCGTTAACTCTAAAATGTAGCAACCATATGGAGCTGCTAGCAATGCCATGTTTTAAATCAATATGGTTCTAACCACAATCTGTAATTTTCCTATTTCGAGAATGATGACGTTTCTTCTGTATGTACTTCGTGCCGGAAGACTCCTCTGAGCGAGTTCTGGACTAAGTGAGTGGTCCGGGATGATCTACTGTTCCAAGTACATATACTCCATGACTGCTTATGTTTGGCCGCCATTAATGTTAATTGTAACTGGTTGTGCCAATTCCATTCGCACCATTTTTCCTCATCGCCCTGTTTATCTTAAGTCCAACTTGCTTGCTCTATAACCCAAGCTCATAGAGCGTGATTTCGGTACCTTTTTTTTATCGTGTTTCCTCAACAGCACGATGTCGTCAGCAAATCAGAGCTGAGTGAAGAGTCTGCTGTTGGCTGAAAACTGGCAATCCCATTTCACTTTGCGGAACACTGACTCAGGACGGGTGATAAACAGCAGCTTGGGCGATATGCTGCCTCGTTGAAGAACTCCATTAGAAACCTTGAATTCAATTGGATTTTCAATTAGAAGAATCTTTATGTTTTAGCTTCAGCATACTTCTTCAAAATTCGGATGTGTCAGTTTATTATTCTAACTGAGTTTCAGTTTAAAATACAATTTAAAAAAAAATACTCGTACAAGTACAACAGCCTCAGAAAAGGAGAGAATGACCATTTACGACCCATGATGAACTACTGGCAACGTCAAACTCTGAAGCATAGACACTGAACCTACTTTGGTCAAGCCCTTTACAACGTAGTGCTTTGTCTCCAGGGTGTATACGGAGATGCCGTATCAGGCATCAGTGTGTTAAGTGAGGATATGAACTTCAATCGTCCACCGTGCAGAGTATCTTTCGTTCTACAGGTTTTGAGTTCATTTTTATTGTTGCCTTCCGGCTCTCAGTTGAGAGCTACTTTGTCAGTTGACAAACAAATTAATAGAATGAGGCCATACTGAACTATACTGTCATTTTCGTTGCGTACGAATCTTTGTGTAAGCCAACGTTCGTTCACTTTGTAGACCACATGCCTCATATTAATTAGGTACCAAAGTACCATAATGGCACATTAATATTTTGCTTAATATGATCTTCCACACGAACGCATATTAAAAGCTGTAACCGTTTTACAGCCGTTTGATTCCAACTGACTAACCTTCTTCCTCGCCGCTGGTAATCAATCAAATCTGATACAGATCTTGAATTCACTGATTCCAAATGTGAATGGAAGTTTTCTTTGCCTCATGCACCAGTGGTGCCCGCGCGATTCGAGGTCGCAATCATATCTTCTCTCTTCGCGGCAAAAATTGTCCTAGACGCCTATGACACCCTTTCATCACACCAAATCTCCGCGGTATTTACGTACCTGCGGTGCGAGGGCCCTTTTACCGTATCTCAGGGACGACTCGAACCAATGCGCGTTCGAACATCGAGTGGCAGTGAACAGTGGCCTCTCCGAGCACCAGTTCAAAAATGCCACAATCCGCTAGCATTTATACGCGAATCTGTTCGACCCAGTACCGAGATGCGACAAGGCATCGAAACACTACAGTTGCTCAAATAACATAGAGCTCTGGCCTGCTAAAAACTCTCCTAGGCATCTAGAAGCAAAGGAACGCTGCGATTACCCATGTAATTCCGGTAAATGGACAGTATGTCCTCCATCCCTCATCAGCCACTTCACACTCTGAGGGCTAAAAGCAACTTCTTTCCAATGCCTACGCATGTTAAAGTCTTTCAACTAACTTCACCATTAGGTTAATGAGTAACACCTAGGTATTACTCCTGTCATTACAAGTTTTCGGGCATTAAGTTGCTTAAGAAGTCTGCTCTTTTCAAAGCGATAAACCACCATGGCCACAAAGTAAACGAGCATCTAACTAGCATAAATCAAGACCCGCTAATATGCAGCATGTGTAGCGTGCTGGCACAGTTGTCTATGAGGTCTGCTTCGAACCACTGGAGGGCAATCTTTGCCTTATTCACAAATTTCCTTGAGCAAGGAATTTACCACATATTTTCTTCAGTCGGTAGGGCGTCGAACTCAGAACGGAACCGATAGGTTCCGAGTTCAAGTCCCAGTCGTGGTTACTTGCCCTTCTTCCTTCTGAGGTTGATATATTAGTGCCACACACTTTGGAAAGGAAACAGGAGACTATTAGCTCTGCCTTTAAATGATAAGATACCACTACCACTAGCTGATAGCATAGAAACGGAGATCAGCACCGTGTCATCAAGTTTATGAGAAGAAGGTGGACGCCAGAATGGCCAAATCCCGAAAGTGAAGGAAGAGCGGCATTCCAACGTTGGCCAACTCTCCAGTATACACCAGGAATTTCACCTTTTGCTGATTACTATACTGAGTAGTCAGCTGTAGGAGGACTGAGGTCAACTGCGGCTCTGAGGGACGCTCCCATCGGATGGCATGTCATGCCTCTTGCCATAATACATGATACTGTTCTGTCACTAGAGTTCACACTTCAACGACTGTTGCACGCTTCACGACTGGTCGCATGAAAGCAACGTGGTTTGAATTCCTTGCTCAAGGAGACTAGCTATTCTCCTTCGGGATTCGAACCCGGCACCTGTGCACTTTAAAAATCGACCTCCTACCGCCAAGGCATGCGACCGACGAATCAAGAAAAGAAGCATAATTGTAAATGACCATCAGTAAATTTTCACTTCCTGAACGTTCCTCAAACAACCT